ACTCATTTCCACAAATTCCTTAATATTACGATAACCCTATTTATACAAACTTTGTTTGTTAAAATTTTTGAAATTTGTAGAGGTCAAATTTTGTATTATCATCTATTCTATAATATAATAGATATATGAATATAGAAATAGATAGAATTGAATATTTATTAATCTATGATTTAAGCTGTAGGTAGATTTTGAGCATAAACAATTTTTGTGATTTTTGAATTTCCTTTCGGAAAAGCTTAAAATTTTAAAATTCCTTATAGCAGTTGCCTTAATCTAAATTTCGGATTATCAATTTTGTTACCATTTTTTAAACTTCTATATTTCGCGTAAGATTCATGTTTATGTACTGGCTTATAAAAGTTAGAATATAAAAATTATTTAGAGAGGGCAATATTCAGGAGTAGACAATAGAGAATAAACAAGCTATTGAAAAAAAAAACAGGATTAAATACTAAAACAACAATCTACATGCAAATATGCAAATATGCTTCCGCCAAAACACTCCTTCAGATTGAATTTTGAAATTTCATTTAATTTTTCTTGTCATGCCAACCACCGAATTGAAAACAATGGTTTATTTGAGCCTAGCACCGTAGTCTTGCAGAAAACTGAAGCGACAATTTTTATTATGTGCTTCGCGCATTTCGTTGAAGTCGGTTGGGTGATCATAATTATGTAGACAATTTCATCATAAAAGTTTTTCCCCGTCGGCGCGGCGCAGCATTTCTCCATCATAAATTTACACCAATCCATACGATGCTTTTTCTGCTCATTGGTAATTTTGTTCCGCACCTATCTCGAAAAACGCTTACTGTTAACAATTTGGTCATGAATATTGGTTTGTATCGCTACTGATCCAATACCCAGTTCTCTACATATATATCGTTCGGCAGTTTTCTCGAATAAGTTTTCCAACAGCTCAAATAATTCTTGAGTAATGGTTAGCGGTCAACCTATCTTCGCTTCATATTCAAAGTTTCCCCGTCCTTCAGCCAACCATTTTTTAATAAAAGAAAAAAAAATATTTCGAAGACATGTGAAGTTCGCCAACACGCATTGGGGCAGCGCGGCGGACACTTCCTTGCCCTAAAACCCCCTCAGAAATGAGGGGAGGCCTGTGCCCAACAGTGGGACGTATATAGGCTGTAACTTTATATTATAGTTGTAGCATGAATGGGTCGGCTCGACCGGGGAAGGACCACGCTCTCACCGACAAACGGAGACCCATTTTACTGGATACGAGGCATTCCATCATAGTTCTCAGTAGTGGTAACCCATCTGCATTTTGATCCTTATTGGAGGATAAATGTCTATGGGCCACAGCATCCACTTACTGTCGGGTGGGCTGTGTGTTCGCTTGTCACCCTCATAAAAAAATGGAAAATTGACCTAATATTAGGACACTACTAATTGTGGCAAACTTAAATTAAAACACATAGTAATTTGTTAATAATGGTGTATAAGTACTATCCATTTTAATGTCGAAACTCCTCATTTATCCCATTTATCGTAAGTAAAAATAATTAAGATCGATATCGGTAAGGTAAACAAATTGCTAGTAAATCTACGCATTTTTACGTGTATTCGAATGATCTTGTGATACGTGATCCTGGGGTAACAGCGTGCCTACAATAATATTGACAGTGTACGTGCCCGACCCCAACAGCTTTGGGAGCATGCAGGACGACGATTTTTTGAGCGAATCCAACGAGACATCTACCACTTCCGAAGCCTCGCAGACCACACACACTGATGTGGGAGTAGGCTTAAAAGGTTTCATGAATACTTGTGAAAAACTTTCATGAATACATGCCTGGCTCTATAATTGTTCTAAAATTATTGACGTAGTCATCCAAGACGATTTCAAGATTCAACGGTTTCGTTTAAATACCAATTTCTACCCTATGCCTTCGTCTATTATTTTGCTGTAATTTTAATCGCAATCGTTAGTATTAAAGCTGCATTTTTTCTATTATACATTTAAGAAGAATTTCATTTATTTAAGCAACCAAGGCTCATATTTTGTTAGTATTACTTATCACTAAACTTATAACTATGTTAGTAGGCATAATATTATTATTATATATATGTGAAGTACAAAAAAAATTAAGTCTGACACAATTATGAATGCAAAAGCAGTACTGATGCCAACAATAATGATAATGTGAAACCCTGAAATATGTCTGCAAATACTGCCTTGATAATACTATCACGTTACCAGGATCCACGATACGGTAGTTACTGATATTGTGACTAGCCCCATTGGATTCTGTCAGCGTCAAATATTTCATGAAATTCACACTGTTATCAGAACATTAATCTTTGCGTCGAAGTTTCCGTACATATGGGTTTACTCTGTTACGAAATTACAAGTTTTTTTCGAATGAGTTAGAATTTTGAATAGATAGATAACTTTACAAAACTAATTTATAAATGTATTAACAATACGTCCATAACAACTACTCCGCCTAAAAAATGTGATGTGACACTACCAATGGGTACATGGCGACAATTTTGACGCGTCAACGTCTAAGGTTAGTGAATCAGTGTGATGATACTTTTAATTTAATTATTAACCCGTGGATATAAATAGGGTGAGAGGACTCGTCATTATTTACGCTGGGCAGGTGGTTGGCGATTTAAGTCTCAGCCAGGTCAATATTGGAAGCCATGTACAAAATCATTTTGGCATAATATCCTATGTCTTTCCTTTACGGCACAGCTCCGGCCTACGATACGAAATAGGTGAGGTGATGGATTCTGTTTCGATGCCGCGCTTGTATGTGGGATGAGAGTAGTACATATTATATAATATATATCATGTGTTATGTAAACAAACCCTAAAATAGATTTTTGTAGGTGCCATTAAATTATAATATGTTTGAAAATATTTAGAATAATGAAGCGCTAAAACTAGAGATGGGCCGAATATGGATTTCACCAAATACGAATATTCGGCCGAACGTTCGGTTAAACTTTTACCGAACCGAATACTCGGCCGAACATTATTCGGCAGGATCACCTCGGTACTTAACCAATTTATGTCGAAACTAGTTAGCATAAAGCGTGCAGGATTAGCGCCGAGCCCTTCCCCTCGCTCCCCCGCAAAACCTGACATGCTATTGCATCATCTAGTACTGAACAATTCGCCGGCACACGCTTATTTTTTGACTATTTTTGTCAAAAAAAGTATTTCGTTGTGTTATTCTTAGTGAAAATAGATAATTATAATATGAATAAAGTGAGTGGCAGGAGATCTATTTGGAATTATTTTAGAGAAACTAACGACAGAAATAAAGTGAAATGTACTAATGTAAAGTAATGTTTTTGTATGTTCCAAAAAATTATCAAGCTTTCTGTTTGCTATATTTGGAAATAAATCCACAGTGCCTCAAAAACATAACGCTATATAAGTAGATTTTACCCATAAATATACTACACTACCATAATACTTTCAACAGTAAAATTATTAAAGACGTGGCATTACTCAATTCATACATTTCAATACAGTGGACACTTGGAGTACCACTTTAACGAATGTTCGGTGATTTAGCCGAATATTCGGCCGAATACGAATATTCGGTAAAGCTGCCGAATATGCCGAATACCGAATATAAAACGAATATTCGGCCCATCTCTAGCTAAAACCTACAATAAGGCTACTGCACCGAAATAAGCCTGAATATTGGTTTATTCCTTTTATTTATTTATAAAAAATAAATATTAAACTGATAAAAAACTTTGTTTTCATTTTCTTTAATAACATGATTGTACCCATAAACCTTAAACAACCTTTCGTCCATACTCAAACTTAGAATAATGACGTATTTAATCCAAGGATACTATTAAAAGAAAAATGAAGACAAGTGAAAAAAAATTAAAAAGAACATGTAATAAATGGACCTGTGTTTAGGAGAAGGAGAAGAGTCCTTTAGTTTTATAAAAAAAAACTTTTTTTAATCCTTTGTTGTATTAAAATATACTTAATATGTTATTATTACGGCTACCTAAGTATAAAAAAATAGGTTTAGTTCGCTATACTTATGTTTAGATTTATTCGTAGGCTACTCATTCGACATAATGTTCATTTGTAATAAACTTTTCACCTTTTATAGAATAATTAATAATAATAAATTGCTGGGGCCTTAACTGTAGCTGGCTACACCTACATAGTTTTAGTTCAGCCGTGAATAAATCGAATACACCTAAGTTTAACCAAGTAATGTGTAGTTTTAGTTAGAAACACAATAACTATTTCAAAGCAAGTAACTTCTTTCATTTTCATTTGTTTTTTACATTTTTGGTCAATAGGTTGCGGTTAAACATCGGTTTAGAAGATCTTGTACCATGACAAAAGATAAAAACGCAAAAATAAACCTAAGTTTAGCCAACTAATCATTAGTTTATTATTTACACTGACAATAGCTTTAACATATTCATTATCAACATCATCATCATATCCCTTCACAAGTCCACTGCTGAAAATAGGTATCCCCCAGTTCCGCCAAGGCATGCTGTTAAACACGGTAGATCTTCATCCACCTGCATCTGTCGATTAACTGGATGTCTTACAAGGTCTTCTATTCACCTACTTGCGCTCACCTATAACCCATAATATACATATTATATTATTTACGTTAATTATTGACTTATTAATAAGACTGTGATTTATGTATCAATTAGTCAAGGTCAAGTATATATAGATAAATAGTTGGTAACAAAAACTTTTTTACTTCATCTGAGTTATCACAGATAAAGTTTAAGGCGATTACTAGTTTTATTTGCGTTAATTGGTAAGGTCGAACGTGTTTTATGATTTATATTATTTTTATATTTAGCATCAAATCTCAATACTTAGGTATCTAGAATATCTAATCAGTAAAATATTTTTATCGATAATGGGCCTTCGTTTGCCCAAGATCCACCCTGACGTTATAAACACGTTAGATTTCGTAGTACTATTATTTGTTCTGTGGTTACGTGAGCACTAAACAACCAAAATGGTAATTTGCGTAATAAACTACTATTTCAAGAAGTTTTAATATTATTAATTAACGATATGACGCTTGTGATACAATGATATCGCATTGCAGTTACGCGATAATATGTAAGTTAATGTTTACATGTGCCTATGTTTTTAAAATGCGCCGTATCTTGATATTTATTAAATATACGTTTTTGATATACTTAATAATAAATTAACCCTTTTCTCTTCTATAATGAATATTTCATTTTCCACAAATATCAAACAATGTTATTAACATTTACCTAACCATACAAGTATTTTTAATAAAAAATTGTGTTATGATTACCCAAATTACTTGCAGTATTTATTTCAAAGGCCACACAAATACTCCACATCGTGAGTTAGAATGAGAAAACGATGTAAGCTAAAGAAAGAGATAGAAGTTTTTAGGGTAAGCTGGCCAGCGGACCGCTGTTGGTTTACATTCACCAAAATAATTATTGTCAAATTATTGTTCATTCTTGAAGATAAATTTTATTGATAATAAATATCATATTATTTTTGTTCCCACCGTAAGAAACTTTTCAAAAAGGTTATTAAATATCACAAGAAGGAGAGTAGAATCATAAGGTATTTTTGAAAAAGTAATATGAAATTTTAGACAGTGTGTAGTTCACTGAGTTACTTAATTTTATATATAAAATATTAAAATTATAGTTATTTTAAATGTAAATGTAGGAATGTTTTCGTTTTATTCGCTGGGTACCCTACTCCACTTTGCGCGGCAGCGGTCAGAAGGCGGAGCTTATCGGCAAACTCGCGTCGAAGCTGGCTTCACTGTCAATTCGAGAGCTGCGAAGAGTACGCTCGCGTCTATTACGTAGTGTGTTTATAGTGAGTGTGTTTTGTGAGGAATTTTTCAAATGTAGTGAAGTGAAACATAGTGCTGTTTTTTTATAGTGCAACTTGTGTGATTGGCATGATGTTAATGCTATATTTTTCAAGTGATTAAATCAAAATGTGTACAGCACCGTGGTGTGCAAAATTGATTTTTGCCACGTAGTGACGCGAACGGGTAATGATTCCTAATGTGGAGTTTGAGGCAAGATGGTTAGAGAGACTCGGCACCTGTGGGTTGGAAATTTACCCGATAACATACGAGAAGATCGAATAAGAGAGCACTTTAAACGGTAACATTTTCATTTCATTGCACGTTATTCTTGTTATTTAAGATTAAAGGAAACTCAAAGTATTAATCAATAAATATTAATTTATATAAATACCATTCACTATGTTTGATTATGATCATTCAATATGTATTCAAATATTATTACAATACTATAAACAGCATCCTGTTAAACATGAGCCTTAGAAGGGAAGATCATTGTCTGCAATGTAATATTGCTGGGTATCTACTCCCCAGAGACCATACAAAGTTCTAAAAAGCTTTTTATGCCTCATGTTATCGGGAAACCAAAATAAAACTCCAGCCGGTTTTTCAGTCACTAAGGCTGATCTGTTTTAGTTTCAATATGTTTTTTTTCCAAATAAAACTGACTATGATTTTTAGAATATTTTTCTTTCATATGTTAATGGTTGGTCATATTCATTATGATAATATTTGTTGTGTAGTGGTTAGTGGCACCGTAGGAGAATCTACTGCAGTGCAACCTCGATATAACAAATCGGAAGGGAATAAGTAAATATTCGTTATATCAAGTAATTCCTTGAACTGAGGTTTGTTATGTTGAGGTTAGGTTGGTCTAAAAGTTGTTATAAAGAAGTAAAAAAATAGTTTTATTCACAACTTCTTTCTAAACTTTATATAAAGGTTTTGGGTTGACAAAATTCGTTATTTACAGGTATTTACACTTCCTTGATAGTTGTAAATACGTTATAAAGAAGTTGTTCGCAATGTAAAGGTATATTTTATATTGAATCTTATGGACAATTCACGGGGACCACGAAAAAATTGTTAAATCGAGGAAGTCGTTATATTAAGGTGTCACTGTATATCTATCATCCTTGATATGTTCTAGCAGGCGATAGCACATTCCTAATAACAACTCAATAATAATAAAAAACTGCGGTTGCGTATCCATTTTGCCGAATCCATTTTGACGAACTAGCAAATATCTTCCATATGAGCATATTAGTTCTGTTGTATATTGCATTTAGGTATTAATCCCTATCATTTTTAACCCACCTCAAAGTTTCTTGACGTTGGTTGTTACTTTTTATTAAATAATTTTATACTAATTAATTTGTTTAGGTACATACATACATTTAACACATTCATAATGATCTATTAGTTGAATATGCTCATTAATAATGTATCAAGCAGTGTTTCATTAAGAGCATGTTAGACACTAGTAATAACTAGACACATTTTCCCGTATATAAATACTGACACACACACACAACTGTTAATGTTACTTTAATTATATGTGATATTATTTGATTATTATTATATGTACTTTATACCTATTTCATACATTTTCGAAATTCACTGCTGAGCTAAGCCTGCCACATAAATTTTTTTATAAGGTATATTTGTCATAATTGCTGCTCTTGACAAGGCAGTTGCCAACTGCAGTTTTTTATTAGTTTGAATTATTATCAAGAAGATGCTGCCTATTTCCTGTCTTAATTTCTTTTGTAGCCTGTTCTGACGACACCTATGGAAATAATATGGGCAGTGGAGTCTTTTATGCTGCCAAATCACAGCAAATTAAATAAGTGATATTATTTGATAATTACTGGAATAAATTAATGAATCATAAGTAGCTAATAGGTAATTATGTGAATCAAATTATCATAAAATCTTTTTATAATTAAAATTATACTATAGTAGACAATTGAAATTATACTGTAATTTAATAAACCGTTATAAATGTATTGGTAATTTTATTATTTAAGTAACATTTTTAATACACAATATATTTTTGGACTTTTAACCCATCTTTTTTGCACTAGTGCAGTCCAGTACCAATGCAATGTTTTTTTTATTTGACTTGTAATTTTAAGACATAACATGACTTTATCGATATATCTCTGACTAGTGGTGTAAACTACCTGCAAATCAGTTAATAGAAAAGAGGTTTATTACAATGTTGATCAGTATAAGCTAATATTATGGTTATTAACCCTTCAATCCCCATAAAAATCCTATGCAGTTGCATGCGCCTGGCACATCCCGAGGGGTTGCATGCGACCGCATTTTAAACCATTAAAACTTATATTTAGAGACTACTTTTCTATGAAGAAGTTTGGCGTTATAAAATCTATACAAAATTTTCTATCCTGTGGGCTAAACAAAAGTCATATTGATAACAAAAAAAATATATACCAAGAGGATGTCTGCAGTGTGAAAATCACAATTATTTCTATATATTACTCGAAATTATTTACGTAAGAAGATAAATTATATTCACACAAAAACTTTCATTACAATTTTATAAAAAAACACTATACTAAAATACTAGGAAAATCTAATATTCAACACAATAACATTCACATGAAAATGGCGTACGAAATGAATGTAGATTATAAATAAATATCCATGGACTAAGTGACTTTTTATTCCACTAGAGGATCGAAAATTTCAAACATAAATATTTATGGGTTAAAGTGCTGTTGGTGGGTGCAGGTCACATTTGACCTCTAGAATTTTGACGGAATATCGAACGAACGAAATTTGGATGCTTGACCTTGAGAGGTTAATAAAAGTTTTCACTAAATAATATTATACACAAGAGTAAGTTTAGGAGAATATTAATTAATTCTTAGCTTATATTAATGTTTATGTTGTTAATAAATTAAAAGTATTTTGTTGATAATTTTTTTACGTTAGTTTTCTATGTTCAAAATACCTAGTCCTGAAATTATACAATAGAGAACCTACACACTTAACGCAAAGAGAGTGATATAATAAACTTTGCTTTAAACTTTTATTTTATACTAGCTTGCCAGGCAGACGTTGTTCTGCCCTTTTCGACGACCCTTTGTCATGTCCTATTAAAAATCCTTAAATTAGCAATAAAATTGTGGGTCACTCGTGGGCAAAAAAACTATCCTCTTTCAATTTTCATAATGTAGTTAAATGGCCTATTCTCTCTAATGAACATTCTACATTCTTGGTACATTTGATTTGAAGTAGTTCATGTTTATTCAACACCAATTTTATGTTAAATCTGACAAGTTTTCTCAAATGGTTTACATCCTGTCAAAAATAGTGTTACTAAATAACCCAACCGTAAAAGCCCTAAGTGTGAGTTACATGTTCAAAATTTTGAAGCAAGTACATAAATACTGAAAAATTTAATTGTTTTCACTGCTAAAATTAGCATGAGTACATACAAAAATTTAGCCATCTTAAGTGAAAAAAGGGGTATTTATATTTTTCTCATATAGGTAATTATATTAATGAATGGTCCCACCATTATATTATTTTTATTATTATTATTATATTTTTTGCACTACTGATATGTAATTATTTGCTTTTAAACAAAATTATTTAATAAAAATTGTGCATATATACAAGTGTTGTGTAAAGTCAGAAGAGGGAATCATACAAATTGGCTCATTAAAAATCATAAAGAAGGCACTGAATCCCTATTCAAATACACATTTTACTATGCAAACATTCCTTGGTTAAATTGTTTAAAAGTTATATCAAATGAGAAGGATTATTATTTTTATGTCATGTTAAGAACACATTTTATAAGAAATCATTTTTTTTATTTATTTATTACATAATTATAATATCATTACAGTTACATTAACTAATACAATGCTATAACTAACCTATATATCAGCAAAATAACATACATACATAAACACTCACGCCTGTCACCCAGAGGGGTAGGCAGAGACTATAGACTTCCATTTGGCACGATCCTGACACACCTCTCTCGCCTCCTTCACATTCATACACCTATGCATACATGCTCGTCGGTTAAGGGTTACTCCTAATTTGGCCCGTTTTCAATAAATCGCTAATTTGGTCGATAAATTTTCGCCTAGGACGTCCCTTTCCGACTCTGCCATTCACTTCTGTAACATAAATTTTCTTTGTCACTCCTCATTCATTCTTTCCACATGACCAAACCACCGAAGCATTACTTTCTTAATCCTGGTCACAACATCATCTTGCAAACCACACTCTTCTCTTATTACACAATTTCATCAAAATCAGCAAAATACTGACTAATAAATAATAAAAGTATCAACATGACTATAAAATAATATATTAATTAATAAAATTTCAATTTTCAACACATTTGTATGCTGCAATTGTGAATTTTGTCTGACTGCATGTAAATATGTCAATATTCTGTGAGATAATATGAACATAGCATATAGCATTTGTGCATTCTAAAGCAACTTCAATTAGGTTTAATTGTTGATATAATAATTGTTGTAGATTATACTGCTTTGGTGGGGCTCTTTTTTGAGGACTACATTTTTGATAGAATAAAGTTTGTATTAATGAATATTGTGTGCTGAGAAGGAGGTAGATTAAGGTAATTATCTTTTAAAGTTGATCTCCGAGATAAATATATTTTTGCTTTTATATACTATATTGGCCTGAGACAATGAGTTGCCCAGTTTACAGATAAACACCCATGTATATATATAAAAACATTTGTATATATGTAACTGAGTGTGACGGTCATGCGAGTTAAGTACTTTTTCCCCATCCCTAAGGGACCCAACTTCAAAAATACAAATTTTCTCTTCAAAAATACTTTAAAAAAAGTAAAGCCGACTGCAAAGTACTAAAAACAATGAAGTAACATTCTGAATTTGGTGTTCAGTACATATGATCTGGTTCCATTTCTGCCTGGCATGCGGCAACCAGATTCCCAACGCATGATTTTGCCAGGTAAACC